CTGCTCATGTAGAAACAGTAGACAGTGAGGTCTAACGTAGAGCCTCTTTGCCAACCTCGGACGTATTACCACCCGTAACTCCGATGGAAGTTAACCAAAGACCTACGTCCTCGTAAGTCTCCCGGTTCAGACGTTATATTTAATCGCGTTATTAAGCTTTTACCCGCCCAACTCATCGTTATGTTGGCATCTATTTTCAATGCCGCTATGACGAACTGCATCGTTCCCGCGATGTAGAAAAAAGCGGACGTTATTGGCGTATGCCACCGAGCTACCGCCCGATTAGTCTTCTCATGTCTCTAGGCAAACTGTATGAGCGTCTGCTTTACAAACGCCTCAGAGACTTCGTCTCATCCAGCGGTATCTTCATCAATGAATAATTCGGATTCCGCGCAAATCACTCATGCGTACAACAGGTGCACCAGGTCACGGAGCACATTCTGGTAGAGCTTAATCGACCAAAACCGTTATACACAGGAGCCCATTTTTCGACGTTGCAAAAGCATTTGACAAAGTCTGGCAAATCGGTTTGGCTTTCAAACTATTCAACATGGGCGTGCCGGATAGTCTCGTGCTCATCATACGGGACTTCTTATCGAATCGCTCTTTTCGATATCGAATCGAGGGAACCCGCTCCTCACCGCGACAAGTCACGGCTGGAGTCCCGCATGACTCTGTCCTCTCGCCGCTCCTATTTAGTTTATTCGTCAACCATATTCCCCGTGTGTCGACCCAGTTAGCTTTATTGGTCAACGACACTACTGTTTATTATTTGAGTAGAAAAAAGTCCCTAACCGGGAGGAAACTCCAGAACACAGCCTTAGCCCTAGGACAGTGGTTCCGAAAATGGCACATAGACATCAACCTAGCGAAAAGCACTGCGGTGCTATTTCAAAGGGGAAACTCCACACGGATTTCCTCCCGGATTAGGAGGAGGGATTTCATACCCCCGATCACTCTCTTCGGCCAACTCATACCCTGGGCCAGGAAGGTCAAGTACTTGGGTGTCACCTGAATGCATCCATGACATTTCGCCCACATATAAAGTCTGTCCGTACCCTCGCCGCGTTTTTTCTCGGCAGACTTTATCCCATAATTTGCAAGCGGAGTAAAATGTCCCTTCGGAACAAGGTAACACTTTACAAATCTTGCATAAGGCCCGTTACGACATACGCGATTATGGTGTTCGCTCATACGGCTCGCACACACATAGACACCCTCCAAACCTTACAATCCCATTTTTGCAGATTAGCCGTCGGAGGATCTTGGTTCGTGTGAAACGTCGACCTACACGACGACCTGGGTCTTGAATCGATCCCGAAACACCTGAAGTCAGCGTCGGAATGGTACTTCAATAAGGCTATGCGTCATGATAATCGGCTTATCGTTGCCGCCGCTAAAAACTCCTCGACTCCTGTTCACCCAGGAGCCAGTCACCATCGGCGTCCTAGATACGTCCTTACGGATTCATCATATCCAATAACTCATGCATTAGATGCCTTTAGCTCTAACACTAGGAGCAGGCTTAGGGACTCCGGTAACCGTACTTGTCGAAATCGGCAAAGAGTTCGACTTGCAACCTAACCGAAACATCAGCCCGCTCAATTTCTCACCGGATCTTCACAGTGGGTCACGATTCAGCTACTCTTAAGTTGTTAGGTCTCCCTTGGAGGCGCTCGGGTAGCTGTTAGAAGACCCCGTCCCTTGTGGCTGAGCCCTTGTTCGCCCATCTGTCGTTGTGAAACTGGAAAGGCCTCCGGACCACCAGTAAGCCGTCAATCATAAAAAAAGGATGAAGAGAAACTATTTTTGTAGTTCAAAAGTTAATTAGATTGTTTGGTACTGATCACTTGATAGAAAAGAAGGCGCTTCAATCGCGATATCAACATTTTTAAAGAAATTTCACATACGACTGTCGGACATCGGCGGAAAATCTTCTCCGATAATAAGTATAAATAATCCTTACCTTATTTGGCTAAGCTAAGCACTAATTTCTTAATTGTAGACGGTTCCGATGACGTATTAGGAATAAACGAAAGTAAATGGAAAATATCTTTAATATACAATATTTAAGTAGGTAGGTTCATAATTATCAAGGTAGGTTTATAATTTGTATAACTACCGATAGTGGAGCACCATGTGAGCCCGCACGGGTTGGTATCACCATCCTGCCTAAGATATTATTCGTCGAAATCTGAATATTGTGGTAACTACCGTCTATTTTTGAAACAACCAGACTTAAAAGTGTAACGTAAAAGTATTTTTAATCATAAAAACATTTATTTATCAAGAAATATATAGCTTAATTATAAAAATAAACAAATTGCCTTTCGACAAAATAATCCTTTGGATAAGGGCTCGTTATTACAAGCGCCGGTGATGTCCCCCGTATACGTACCTACACAAAGTGATATCTTATCAGTTAGTGTTGATCGATTTTTGATTCCCTGTATGATATGTAGCATTGATTTAAAAGGAGAGGCATTTTCAATGCGCTTCCTCGATATGTCATAGAGAATGACTTATAGTTAGATATTGTAAACGTCGTAAGTACCTACGCCATTACAAAAGAACGGCATTGTCGCGGAAAAAGACCGCGGTGGTTTCAAGACAATTGTTGAATATTGCCTTGTCTAGAATAAAAAAGAACATGCAGGGTACGCGCCGTGACTCCACTATGTAAAGGCGGCATGTAGACAACTACGTCAAAGCCCATTGAGTTTCTCGCCGGATCTTCTCAGTGGGTCGCGTATCCGATCCGGTGGTAGATTCTGCGAAACACTGCTCTTGCTAGGGCCAGTGTTAGCACCACTCCGGTTTGAGCCCCGTGAGCTCACCTACATGTTAGGGCGAAGCTGATATAGCCTCTGAAGGCTATCAGCAGAGGTAGGAAAAAAAGGTACGTCAATTCCAAGCATCGACCATCGTTCTCGTTGAACTTAACCCACATACACAACCTACTGAGTTTTTCGCCGGATATTCTCAGTAGGTCGCGATCACAATCCGGTAGTAGATTCAGTGAAGCACTGCTGTTTCTAGGTCAGATGTTAGCAGTCTCTCAGGCTCAGCCCCGTGAACTAATCTACGAGCCCAGAGAAGCTGGTATAGCTCCTCAATTGCTACCAGCGACTGGATAGGAAAATATAGAGTCTTCGTTCAGAGGATTCAAAACGAAACTCTTTGCCCTGTAGTTATGAGTTTATTTTTATTTTTATGTGTTATTTTTCTTTACCAGACTAATGACAATGAGCTCAGTTCCACCGAATACGGACAATGACGAATTGGCCCCGCAGCCAGCCCCGACGCCCTCATACAACTCTACTCATACTCTACTATCATTGTGCACTTTCGTAGACCTACGTTTTTTTTTTTTTATTGCTTAGATGGGTGGACGAGCTCACAGCCCACCTGGTGTTAAGTGGTTACTGGAGCCCATAGACATCTACAACGAAAATGCGCCACCCACCTTGAGATATAAGTTGTAAGGTCTCAGTATAGTTACAACGGCTGCCCTACCCTTCAAACCGAAACGCATTACTGCTTCACGGCAGAAATAGGCAGGGCGGTGGTACCTACCCGCGCGGACTCACAACAGATCCTACCACCAGTAATTACGCAAATTATAATTTTGCGGGTTTCATTTTTATTACACGATTTTATTCCTTCACCGTGGAAGTCAATCGTGAACATTTGTTGAGTACGTATTTCATTAGAAAAATTGGTACCCGCCTGCAAGATTCGAACACCGGTGCATCGCTTCAACACGAATGCACCGGACGTCTTATCTTTTAGGCCACGACGACTTCGTGACGGAAGCTTTCAACATATTTTTTACAAATTGCAAGACATTTGTTTGTTTAAAAAAAATGCACGCAACACAATGACCCATGACAATACAAGTGGTTACAATTTAAAGACTACTTAATAAAAGATATTTAACAAAAAAATAAAACGGACTTCAACGTAATAAGATGCGTTGTATTTTCAATGTAGTCGTCGGTTACATGTTCATTATTAAGGATAACTCACACCACTGGCTGGATCTATTTAGATTAATTTAAATGAGTCTACGTCATGTAGCGACAACTTCCAAAAAACTAAAAGAATCATCAAAATTCGTTCATACAGAAAAAAAAAGTTTCGGGGAATCACACATGAATTGAGATCAGCCTCGTTTTTTGTATTTCGGTTACGCTTACGCCTGAATAATATCGACGAGAAAATAGCCGACCTAAAAAAATATTTTTTATTTTTGTTATTAAACAAGCTAAACTAATATAATAAAAATATATCGTAATGAAAATTATGAAACTTATTTGTAGTGATATATTATGACGTCATTAGATACCTTGGACGCGTATAACGAGAAACCTTTTATTAGTTAGAACATGCAGACGAAGCTCAGGGTCTATCTTAAGTTCAGCAGTGAGTGAGCTCACGCGGCCTGGATGTCATCGACTACCTTGAAACGTAAAATTGAAGTCTATTTCATTAGTCGAAAGGTCCTAAATACGACGAAAAGAGAAAGACGTTACCTACACATATATATAAATTAAACAATAAGTTTTAAAAGTCGATTGCAATTAAGTTACTCTTGATTGTGACTTATGACATTATTAATTTATTAATATTACTATTACGTGCCAAAGCTTTATACAATGTGCTTTATTGTTTGTGTTTTTGTGAACACCACAGATTTACAGCTATAAAAACATTGAGATCGAAACTAAATGTTTAACATAACTTCCCGCCTATAGGTATTTTACCTAATATATTATATATTTCTCAGTAAACCACTATCAAGGTTCTACTAGAATTGATCACGGTCAATTGAGGTTACTACAAAAGATTCGACATTCGCGCGTTGAAACGTAGCAGTTGTTAATGGATGACGCACTGAGGGGACTCCCTATATCTGCGAGGCGCGGGGGGATAATGTGCGCGCGCGCTTATAAAATGGCGCGCATTCTAAAAGCGCCATTCATTAGATTCCCAGCAGCTCAGAAAACGCACGGCTTAAACACCAAAAAAGTATACTTTATTCGTATAACGTATTTCAATTTCAAGTTAAAAATCGTTGATAATTTAGTGTTTTGTAATTTGCTTTCTACCTTTCCCTATATTAAAAATGAAGAAGTACAATATTGTCGGTAATAAGAAGAAAGTGACAATGGAGACGAACTCGACTCTTCTGAAAGTAGTCGGAAACAATTGCATCGTTTACGTTCGTACTAACTACGGCGACATCGAGGTGGTTGGCAACGATTGTCGGGTGGAGGTAACAGAGAACCACGGGGTCATCAACCTTGTGGGCGGGAACGGTTTTGTGAACATCAGCAAACGTTGGAAAGGCGACAACGTTCAACTCCTCGGGCCGAATTGTAGCCTGACCGTTGCGGGGAAGCTGAAGTCAGCCCCGTCGTACGAAGCCCAGCTGTCGCCATTCAGCAAGGACCTGGACGACGTCATTGAATCGATTTTCACATTCGTGATGCGGTGACCAGCGGTGAACTCAAATGGATTTTGCTTTTTTGTGTTAAACAGTGAAAGATACGTGGCACCTTCAGTGACTTTTGATTCGGTATCAGTGCTTTCGGTTGCGGCTCGAGGTCATGATGTAGAAGGGTCTGTTTAAATAAATGCGCTTTTTTTTTTGAAATTTTTCGTTTTTTTTACTAATGTTTACCTACTTGTGTTTTACGTAAATTGATCACGTCACAAAATAGATTCGTAACAACAAGCATTTTTAAGTTAAGATTTTCTTTTGTTTATTTTTGAGGTTTCTTTTTGATTACAACAGGTCATATAATTATTACTAGTGGTCCCGCATTAGAAAAAATTCGACTATAATTGAAATTGTAAGTTTGTACACTATTATGATTCTATTTTCAAAGACTGTCTCATAAATGAGTCGTCTATTATCAAAGGCGGCAATCTGTACATTTGGACAAAAAAATTTTTATTGATATGTCAATACAGATTTATTTGAATATAATCGTCTCCTTCAAAGAATACGGTTCAAAACCTGCATTAAATAAAGGTTAATAGTTAACCTGTTATTTATCTAAGATGTCGTTCCGAAGAGTTTTGTGACTGCCAATGGAATACAAAGTCAATAATTCGTTTTTCTGATTTACCAATCATTGTCCAAAAGTCAGATTGCCGCCTTTGATAATAGTCGACTCAAATGACAAATTTTGCTAAGACGAATTAATAAAGACAAACAATATTTAATCTATTCTCAATTGGACCACAGACGTCAAGAACAAAAGTTTGACAATAAATAAATAGTATGCATGCGTGTGTGCGTCAAATACATGGTAGTGTGTGTAATGTATTTATTTATTGATTTAATGTATTTTTTAGGCATAATTAAAAAAAATATTAACATTCTGCACTCCTTCTCTATATTCTCTATAAGTGTGGGAAATTTTATACTCCTTCGTCCGCGCAATTTTCGTAAAAAGGGATACAAAGTTTTTCCTAAACGTATTAATATATAGATTGTAAAAAAATCATAGTCAGGGATCTAAGTGTCTATGTCTCCTGATTAATTATTTTGAGAAAGATAACAAAATCGAGAAAAAAAAATTGGTCAGTGAGTGTACTATATTTTATTATTACGTACTGAATAACTGTGCTGTGTGAAATAGATAATATTATTATCAGTATAGTATTAACGATAGCGTGATCGTAGGTCAACTATGTATTCTGAGAAAAATATTCATCTGAGCGATAAAAAAAAAACCTTTCATTATTTTTACGACTTGTGAAAACCGAAGAAAATACTGCGGAGTGACAAGCTTTTTTTTTTAAATTAGATTCAATTCGATAAAATTGTATAGGTATGGTATGTGGGAACGCATTCTATGAACAAAACGAAACCCGTAATACTTTTTAATTAAAATTACGGGCCTAACAGATAAGACGTGACGGTGTACGGTGCGATGATCTTGGTGTTCGAAACCAGGATCAACAAAACTACAAGGCAAAAAGCTAATGATCTAAACAAATTTACACTAATACGTTCATCCGAACGGGTTCCACGATGAAGGAATGGTGAAATAAAAATGAAACCCCCAAAACGTCATTACAGGTTATGTTGGGAGCTCATATGGCTTCTGTCCCGCCTATTTCGGGCACAAAGCAGTCATTTGGTTCGCTTGAAGAGTGAGCTAGCTGTGACTACGATCTTGATCGAGACGGTTAATGACATTCACGTTGAGATGTCAATAAACTTTACTCTTTAAGGTCCACTTACGTTATCAGAAATATCCTTTCATAATTTTTTACTGGTGGTAGGACCTCTTGTGTGTCCGCGCGGGTGCAAACCGCAATGCATTTTGGTTTGAAGGGTGGGGCAGCCGCTGTAACTATACTTGAGACTTTAGAACTTATATCTCAAAGTGGGTGGCGCATTTACGTTGTAGATGTCTATGGGCTCCAGTAACCACTTAACACCAGGTGGGCTGTGAGCTCGTCCACCCATCCTAGAAATACAAAATAAAAAAATATATGTATATGTATTTTACGTAATAATTCTAAATTTCTGAAAAGAGGTTGTACTTGTAATATCCTTATTTTACATGTATTGATAAAAAAGAAAACTCTAAATATACATTGTTTTTTTGATAAGAATGTTCCTCGAACCAAAATAATATGATGAATGTTTTTCTTTTGTCGTTTATGATGAAGCAATCGCAGACTTCTGTTTGTTTGTGGTTTTATTTGATTAAATTTTCGAGGAATGCTAAATTTAAACATCAGACTAATACGAATATGCCCTTCATACCATAACCTAATTAGGATTTGAATAGGTTTTTTTTCGGAATTTGAAAGCGTTGAACACAGCCAATTATTTTAAAATTTGGACCCAACGTACATTGAACTTTTACTTTTTATAAGACTGGTTTTTACTATTATCTATCTATATAAAAGTCGTGTATGTATGTATGTATGTTTTTTTTATTGCTTAGATGAGTGGGCGAGCTCAGAGCCCACCTGGTGTTAAGTGGTTACCGGAGCCCATAGACATCTACAACGTAAATGCGCCACTCACCTTGAGTTATAAGTTCTAAGGTCTCAGTATAGCTACAACGGCTGCCCCACTCGTCAAACCGAAACGCATTAACCCGGCAGAAATAAGCAAGGTGGTGGTACCTACCCGTGCGGACTCACAAGAGGTCCTACCACCAGTAACCATAAAGACTCCGGAATCGTTTAAGCCGATTTCGATAAATTTTTAAATGCATTTTCAGATTGGCCCAGCTTAGTAGCGATCGTATCAAAGTCAAATCAATGATCGGTCATCACACTTTAATCGACTAGTGTTTTATAATAGAAATGTCAGGGGAACGAGTAGCCCATGACAATCTGGTGCTTGACTTACATTTTACACAATCTATTCCTTCGAAGAGGGTCACAATCTAGAACAGCTGATGATGACAGGAAAGGTAGATGGCAAACGTACCAGAAGACGCAGTCCCACGAGATGGTCGGACCAAATACGATCTTCTCTAAATATCAACTTCCACAATGCCATTCATGAAGCTAAGGATCGCAGCAGATGGAGGGAAATCGTACGGGAGAAACTGATGCAGCGGGGGAGTCACGACCCTCAGTAATGAGGAAAACGACGCGAGGAGGAGGAGGATTCCTTCGAATACAGCTGTGATCGGATTATTTGGAACGAGTTAATAATATCCTGTTAAATATACTATAATACAATACACGATATATTATTATACTATACTAGCCGTACTCGCCCGCTTCACTGGACTTTTAAAATTAACATTATTATTAGGGAGTCCAACACTCATATGAATATTAGCTTATCCATTAAGTACTTGTATTTTCTACATGGATACCAAGTTTCAAGTCAATCTGATGCATAGTTATAACGGAACATCTGTAATAACCACTGTAGATTTATATATTAGTATAGATAAATATGCTATTTCTGTTTGTTTTAAAAATTAGAACAGCCGATGTATAGTACCTACCATGAAAATTGAACTCTACGGTACAATATTTATAGACTCCATTAAACATTAATCATAACAAAGACAAGCTGTATTCGTCTACTACATTATAAGTCTTAAATAACCAAAGTAATAAATAACCAAAGATCTTTTCTGCCACGTACCATCCGGCTTTGGAATGAACTCCCCTCCACGGTGTTCTCCGAGCGCTATGACATGTCCTTCTTCAAACGAGGCTTGCGGAGAGTACTTAATGGTAGGCAGCGGCTTGGCTCTGCCCCTGTCATTGCTGACGTCCATGAGCGACGGTGACCACTTACCATCAGGTGGGCCGTATGCTCGTCTGCCTACAATGGCAATAAAAAAAAAGGTTTAAGGAACGATTCGAATCACCTTTGTATGTAACACAAACAAGACGAGCTATTTTTTACCTCAAAAACATAAAAAAGGAAGGAAAAACAATAATACAACGATTAGGCAACGGAACTGATGACGTCGGAGCTTTGAGAATTAAAATGTACGTTTTCAAGTTATTCCCCGCCATTGCTTTTGAAGGCGTTTTTGTATTATTTTTTTATTGCTTAGATGTGTGGCCGAGCTCACAGCCCACCTGGTGTTAAGTGGTTACTGGAGCCCATAGACATCTACAACGTAAATGCGCCACCCACCTTGAGATATAAGTTCTAAGGTCTCAAGTATAGTTACAACGGCTGCCCCGCCCTTCAAACCGAAACGCATTACTGCTTCACGGCAGAAATAGGCAGGGTGGTGGTACCCATCCGCGCGGACTCACAAGAGGTCCTATCACCAGTAATTACGCAAATTATAATTTTGCGGCTTTGATTTTTATTACACGATGTTATTCCTTCACCGTGGAAGTCAATCGTGAACATTTGTTGAGTACGTATTTCATTAGAAAAATTGGTACCCGCCTAAGATTCGAACACCGGTGCATCACTCAGCACGAATGCACCGGACGTCTTACCGCTTAGGCCACGACGACTTCAAAGTGAAATTTAAAGTTTTAAGAAAGAAATTAATTAAGAAATTTAAAGTGAAATTTTGAAAAAAATATCAGAACAGAAAAACTTCTTTTAAATGGAGTAAACTTGATTAGAGTTCAATTAAAAACATCGAACTGTTGATGCTAATATCAAATAAAACGCACCTTTAATTACAAGGATAAATATTGCATAGTAAGCGAAATGTGGCTTAAATAAAATAGTCTTTCACCTATCGATATATACCTAATTCAAAACGCTGGTATAGTATTAGCCCACAGAGTTTCTCGCCGGATCTTCTCAGTGGGTCGCGTTTCCGATCCAGTGGTAGATTCTGCGAAGCACTGCTCTTGCTAGGGCCAGTGTTAGCAACACTCCCGCTTAGAGCCCCGTGAGCTCACCTACACGTCAAGGAGAAGCTGAAATAGCCTCTCAAAGTTATCCACATAGGTAGGAAAAATTAAATAATAGTTTAAGAAAACTAACAAAATACGCTTTTACAGAAAATCCGAAAATAAATTTTAATAAATTTGAATTAAAAATAGTATTAGAAAAAAAAAAATTAATGCCAAAAAGCGTTTTCAAGTATTTTTTTCATATTTTTTTTAATATTGAATTGTCATCGGTCCTTAATAAGTATACCAAATTTCGAGTTAATCCGACGTTTTGATG